TCGTACTGGTGTTCTGGTCTTCGTGGATCGCTTTAGCAAGATGTGCCATCTCGTTCCGGCTCCGGACTCAATCACCGTGGCCGATACCGCGGTGCACTTTGTCGACGCTGTCTTCCGACATCACGGCCTTCCTGAATCAATCGTCTCTGACCGCGATCCCCGATTCACATCGGCGTTCTGGACAAAACCCTTCGACCTCCTGGGCATTAAACCCCTCATGTCGACGGCGGCGCACCCGGAGACTGACGGGCAAACGAAACGCGTCAACCGCGTGCTAGAAGATGTTCTGCGCAGTTACGCCTCGTCCTTCGAGAACTAAAGTTCCTTCCTGCCTCTTACGGAGTTTGCACTCAACAATGCCGAACACGCGTCGACGGGATTGACTCCGTTCTTCGTCAACAACGCGCGTCATCCACGTGTCCCCGCACAACTTGCTGTGGGCCAACCCACGGCGACTGATAGCTTCACTCTGGACGGGGAGGAATGTGATAACCCTGCCCAACCGGTTCCGATACTGGTTCAACCACCGGTTTCCGGTGAGACAACGGTTCTGCCGTCTACGAGTTCAGCTACTCCTGCAGTGGACATCAACGCGGTGACGCGTTTACAGTCGAAGAAGATCCTCGCACCCGCGCAATCCACGTCGTCGCCGTTAGTTGACTGGGCTCACCGAACGCTGATCGCTCCAGCACAGCCACACTCGACTGTGGCTAACTACGCGCCGAAAGCTCCAGCGCGACCCGCTGACAAGGCAGCGGTATCCGACTTTGTCCTTCATCGTCAATCGGTCACCCGATTCGTCCGTGACGCGCTACAACTCGCGGTTGACAAGCAGAAGGAAAACGCTGACAAACGTGGCCGCAAGAACACAAGTGCATACAAGATTGGTGAGCGTGTATTACTCTCAACGGATGGAATTCGTACCTCTGCTATTACGAACCTAGGCGCGAGCAAACTCGCGCCGCGCTACATTGGGCCACTCAAAGTACTACGAGTTATGGGTGATGCCTACACGCTAGACATTCCTACGTCGCTACGACTACACCCGACGTTCTACGTCGGGCGACTTAAGAAGTATCTTCCCGCGATGATCCCGGAGGCGGAGCAGGAGCATGCGTTGAGCGGCCCTCGCGATGAGCCTGTCGAGCCAGCGTCCCATCTGTCCCAGTTCCCCGCTCGCGCGGAAGAGCTCCTCCCCTCGGTCCGCCAAACACCTGCGCCTCCAGACTACGCAGTCGCTGCAAGAGTTCACGATTCGACTGCCGCAGACTACTCGCCGTCGCCTCGGCGTTCCGAGAGCTCTCAGCCGCCCGCTCGGCCTCCTCCTGTGCGTCCCGAGAAGTGTTCAGCGCCTGCTCAACGTCGTCCTGGTCCACCAGGTCGCGTCGAATTCCACCTCGACGGTCCTCCACCCATCGTTGACTCGAATGGAGATACGTGCTGGATCGTGGACCGTATTGTTGATCACGAAGATCCTCCCCGCGCGCGTCACTCGACCAAGTCGTCGGCTCAACACGCGGCTCCCGCCGCGCGAAGTATAAGGTACGATGGCTCGTGTTTCAACCTGCTGATGATACGTGGGAGCCTCGCGCCAACTTGCTTCGTGACGTTTCAGATGTCGTCCACGAGTACGACTTCAGCCTTGAGTCAAACGCGGCCGCGAGCGACCTCGCGGCGATCGAGAATGCGATCGACTACGCGCCCGACGAGACGTCGAATGCGCCGGAGACGGGCTCCGCCGCGAACGCTGTCGGCGCGAGCCGCCGCGAATAGCCGCCTGGGTGAACTCGGAGAGTGAGCGCTTATACTTCTCGATCCAAGCGTGTTCGGTCGGCATGAGCGGATACTCGACAATATGCTGATCCCACTCAGCTTGCGTCGGGCGTCGCCCGATGTCACACGAACCAACCTTCGCGTACGTTGACATAGCACAAACGGTCTTCGGTCCAAGCGTCGTCGCAGACTTTCAGGCGCAGATCACCGAGTGAATTCTCGGCTTGTAGGGCTTCGCGATCACCGAGCCAGTCGACGACACTTTGCCCAGCCTCTTGCGTCCGATTCCACCGCCGGATGAATGCGCACCATGATCTCTGCAAAGCTTCGTACGACGCGCCGTCGAGTGCTTTGTTCCGGAGACGCCTGAAGCGCCGAAAGTGGTCCTGCATGGTGTCCAGCGCGTCCGGGGTCACCGCCCCGGACAAGTCGTACAGCGCCCACGGCTTCATATCCTCGTTCATCACGCCGGGCCGAGCCCCAAGTCGACTCACGCTCTCAGGTGTGATATCAGCGGTCCACCCACTGTTCAGCGTCGTCGCCGACGCTGGAGCCGTCCGCGTTGTTCCGCTTCCTGTTTGGTTCGCCGCCCCCATCTGCTGCGCCATGTTGTTCTCGTCCGCGCAAGTTGTATTGTGCTGATCCTGGGCTTCGCAGGAGCCCCCGCCCGTTAAGTTCTCAAGCGTTCTCTTCTCCGCCATTTCCCAGTTTTTCCCGATTGCTCTCCGAAGTGCACTCCGTTAGGTGATTGCTGTCTTAAGAGGGGGGAGATGTAATGGGCCCTCCCAAGTTACATATGTAGGTACTTTTATAGGTTCTTTGTAGTGGTTCACACCATTACAGAAGTAGGTAGATTTGCACTACAAAAGTAGGTGCAGCAGCACACGAGTAGCGTGTGCTGAACTGCCGTCGCCCTATTGGTTGAAATATGGGGAGCCAGACCCATAATCAACCAATAGGAAGTTGACGTGTATTTGAGTGGTCAGGGCAAGCCGCCCTGGACCTAAAAAAAACAGAGCTGATTTTCCCTCAGACTAAGTACTTGGTTTCAGTATCACTGGACTTGTACGCTTCCTCATCACTACGTGTAAGCAAGTAGCGGACACCCCAGGCCCGTTACAGGCCCAAGAAGCGTCACGTGGCTCGAGCGACGTACACGCCGTTGGCAGCAGTGGTGCCACTGACATCAAACGCCTGTGAACGTCCCTTCTCGAAGTGCAAGATGGTCCCGCAACGGAGCAGCATGCTTCCCGCGCACTTTAAGATGCTCATGTTTCTCGATGCAAACAAGGATAAGTGGGACGTCACAAGTCTGGCCTAGGAAAGATCATCATTTTGATAAGGTGACAAGGTTAATGCACGTATTGCCAATAATTGCGCCGTAGCTATTATTGCTCCCTGTTGTATTGCCTTTTTTGTTAAGGAGAACACGTGAAGTCAATGCCGTATCTGATTGTATTTTCCGATGTCTAAATACTACTACTGTAGTACTCATGAATTACAAAGGGCATTTATTTTACAATGCCTGGAAATACGACGGACTGACCAAAGTCTTCTCAAACGGTAGCACAAGCTACGATGCTATGAGCCCATATCGCCATCCAATTGAACCACCTCTTGCAGCTTCAGCTAGAGCTGTCTGCCTTTCCACGTCCGCTACAACTAGCCTAGTATACTATTAATAGGGCACTGCCACTGCTGCCACGAATCCTATAGTGTTGGAGGCAGGACCAAAAGTAGGGAAGCCCGAAAAAACTTAAGTTAAGTGTAGAACATGCGGTAGCGGCCTTCCAACTGAGGCGAGCGGGTGCGAGGTCGCGTAGCCGCAGCTAACCCGGGTGGAGTGTTTGCGAAGCAGGGCCGCGCGGTATTTGCGGAGGTGGGCCCAGCGCCGAGCTCGCCAGAGAGCCGAGGATTGCACTCTCCAGGAGATAAAATCTTTAAATCGCGAGCGAAGCAAACCGCGGGGGCGCCGAAGGGGCGCCCAGCCTAGCGAAGCGCGGCTGGTTATTACTATCGCTAGTTGTCATTACTATCGGTAGTTGATAATGCAAGTGGGCTTCGTTCACTGAGACAATGTACTGTCGGAATAATTAACAAAAATAGAAAAAAAACTAAGATAAATTATTAGAGCAATTAGAGCGTTTTAGAACACATTCAGGTACGTTTTTATCAGCACCAAAGTAGGGTGTGCTCCGAATGACGCGAGTGTCATTGTAAGTGGCATTTTGGTATTATTATAGTCGCCCAGCTCAGGCAAAGCCAGGTTTACCTTAGGGTGTCATTTACTCCACCACTAGAGGCTGCTTTGGTCTGGGAGAGCAGTTGTTTTTTTGTGTCCGTTTAAAACAAAATGAAATACTAATGGTAGTAATACAAATATTTATATATATTAGAAAATAATATTTTACATTACCGTATTCCTTATGTGATTGGCGACAGTCAAATTCTTGAGGTGGTCCAGCCTTTCTGCCAGCATAAAAGATACCTGCATAGAAAAACTATATGACATGCTCAAAGTTATATTGGTCGCCAAGCACATAAAGCGCGACGACACGAAATTTAAATCAATTTGATTGGCTGCTGGATTTGTCGCTAATGACCGAGCGTCGCCAATCACATAAGGAATACGGTACTGTTGGGACATAAATGAATGACCAAAAGTGGCCAAGAGAGACGACGATTGCTTCATGGAAAGAATCCACGAGCTATTGCAGCATGCGCAGCCAAGACAAGTGGGTCCAACTAGAATCGCTATTGAGCCAGCTTGCTAAGAGTATTCTAGAAACGGGTGATGTTGACGAGTGACGAGCTGGAGATGTTACGATCCTGTGATAATTAAGAAGGATCCAAAGCTAGCGCTAGCTTATTACCACTGCTGCGAATGCCATCCCGGTGCCTTTGTCTTCAATAATGAGCAGCTTATTAATAGGTGATCACGCTTCCTAGCAACATTCACGCACCACTTATCACAGAATAATATTCTACGAAATGCTTAGCGTTTATTAAACGCTAAACATTGTGTACCCCTAGCAACAATCGCGCAATTTTAATTTTATTGCATTGGTGTGATTTAAAAACCATTCATAAAACTGTACAGCCAGCTTTTAAGCTGCTAAATACACCTCCATATTCCCATGCTTCGCTGAAACAGTTTCGTACCGTGTCTGCTCCTGGAATGTGGCGGTAGTTTCGTGACTTGAACAAAGTTTTTCCATCGAAGAAATATGGGCTGCTGTTCCACCAAAGAGCAGGTCGGCGTCCAGGATGGCGTCCCATCGCAAGGTGTGTCTCCTGCAAGCTCTCGAAAGTGCCGAGATGTGCCCTGCGCCGTATTCTTCACAGTTTTCTGGCTTGGTATGATTGCTATTGCTGCTGTCGGACTGATACACGGTGAACCCAGACGACTTCTCTACGGAGCGGACTACAACGGCTCCACATGCGGCACTGGGAAGCATCAATATCAACCGTTGACGTTCTATCCTCGCGTCACGCAGGACTTGCTGGAGCAGGCATCAAATCCGTCTTTAGCTCCTGAAGATTTTTCATTTTACGGTGTCTGTGTAGCAAGATGTCCGGGCGCCGGCACTTATATCTGCAGCTACGAAGCTGAAGAAGAGATTCAAAGCGATACGTCGCTTTCCACCGACAAAGAGCGCGAAGAGGAGCGCAAATCGAGAGCTGTGGACCGAATGGTATTTCCCAGTGAAAAACAATGTTGGCTGGTAGCTTTGCCGAGTGAGCAAGTGCTCTACCGTTGTCTTCAGATCACGGAGCTGAACTCTTCGTCTGTAGAGAAATGTGTGGTCCCAGGCGACGAACCCAAGTATTACGACGAGGTGAATGGTGTGCGAGTGCCGAACGAAAAGTGCGAGATCAAGCGCGTTATTACCACGTCCGAGTCAATGGAGCCGGCACAAGAAAACCCGCTTTACTCGACGCTTCAGACTGTGGGTGCCAGCGTTGGTCGAGTAATTGGTGATCTGCAGGAAACGTGGCCAGTTTTTCTTCTTTGTGGCGGCGTTCTTGCACTCGTTTTGAGCTATGCATTCGTGATTCTGCTGAGATTTTGTGCTGGTTGCATTGTGTGGATCACATTGTGGAGTTTTGTGTTGCTGTTGCTACTATTTGCCTTGATGCTAAGTACCAAGGGAGGTATCATCGGCAGCTCGGATCTTCATGCTCTCACTTCAGAGATCGCTACGGTCGCAGCAGCAGCAGGTGTGGACACCTCCGAGGCAAATACGACAGCAATCGTACTTCCCCAGACACTACAAGCAAGTCAAGATAAGCAGAAGGCTTATGCTGTAGCAGCTTACGTTGTATACGCATTGGCTGGCGTCGCATTGTTGCTTGTTTGTTTCTTTCAGAAGAAAATTCGCATTGCTGTTGGTATCGTGAAGGAGGCTTCGCGTGCCATGCAGAGTCTACCACTGCTGGTGTTATTCCCGATTATTCCATTCGTAATGCTGCTGATATTGTTCGCATATGCGGCTATCGTCGGGGCGTACATTTACAGCTCAGGAGAGATGCAGTTAGCTTCACTGGCAGGAGAACTTGCGGACCAGGCTGGACAGAACATAACCACAGAAGCGACTACGACTTTAAACAAGGTGAACCCCGACCAAACAATGAAATTACTGGTAGCATACCACTTCTTCGGCTTCTTGTGGACAGCTCAGCTCATTAATGCAATAAGTATGTGCACAATAGCTGGTGCTGTGAGTCGCTACTATTGGAGTCGCAACAAGTCCAGCGAGGAAATGGGACGTTTCCCTGTGCTTACATCGTTCAAGAACTGCTTCCGTTACCACTTTGGGTCACTCGCGTTCGGGTCTTTCATTATTGCAGTGGTGCAGTTTATCCGAGCGGCACTGCTGTATCTGGATCACCAGACGAAAGATCTCCAGCAATCCAATCTGGTTCTTAAGGTGGTTATGAAGATTGTGCAGTGCTGTTTGTGGTGTCTGGAAAAGTGCCTGCGCTTTTTATCCAAAAACGCTTACATCCTCATCGCCATGAAGGGCCACAGCTTCTGTGTGTCAGCCAAGGATGCGTTCAAGATCTTACTGACCAACATTGCACAGGTCGGTGCCGTATCGACCGTGACGTTTTTACTATTAGGTGCTGGCAAGTTGGCTGTCGCGCTGAGCTGTGCCATCGCAACTTTCGCCTACTTAGAAAAGAACACCGACGACTATGGCGTCGGCGGAGATCACGAGCTATCATCTCCCTTAGCTTCGATCCTGGTGGCACTACTGCTTGGCTGGTTCGTTGCTTCGACCCTTCTTGGCGTCTACGAGATGGCTATCGATACTATTCTGCTGTGCTTCTGTGAGGACAAGGAGCTCAATAAGGAGTCGGCTCAATATTTTATGAGCGATTCGCTAAAGAAGTTCGTTGCCAAAGTTGCTCAGACAGAATCGCCAATTGCCAAAATTCAGGTCGATGAACGCTAGTGTGTCGGGCGCTGCGGGAATATCCAGAATTTTACATGACACGCATTTGCGACAAACATTCGTAACACGGATGCCTAACGCGAAAGTCGTTCCTATTAAGAAAAAATGCAAAGTCTCCAACACGACATGTTAGAAGCCGTCGGTTATTAATGTGGTAGGTTCGGCTGGAACCATCGGTGTGATATTTCAATAAATCATGCCTTAGTTTTCAAACCGATCTCCGCCGTGAAAAGGACCCAATACAATAGTGTATGATTTACCGTTATTGCTTACTATTTGTAGGGAGGTAATTTTGTATGCGAATACGATCAAAAGTAGTGTGTGCTTCACATACACCTTTTAAATGGCAAATTCGAAGTTGCAAAATGTGGCTCTGGATTAAAATCCAGAGAATTACCAAGAGGGATCTCTAATGTAATCGAGAAAAAAGGAGGCGGAGCTTCTGAGAATCGATCAAAAGCGATTAGAGAATACAGTAAATGCTGTCACTTCCGGTACTGTGCTGTCGTTAATGCTACAAAGTACAGCAACCGCTGAGGTTTCAGCTCAGCGGTACCAGCATTTGCTTTAGTACAAGTGCAACACGTTGAAGTTTACAACGGACGACACTTCAGCTGGTTGCAGAACGGACGACCTTTCAGTAGTCATGCATATTGCTAGCACTTAAGATAAACAAGGTATCTTCTAAATTTTGTTTGAAGGCGACAAACAACAAAGAATTCCTTAGCTGGGAGTCGCCCCAGCATGGAGAAGCCCGACGAAACGATGGTGCCTCAGCTGGAGAGGCAGATATACCGGTTGCCGCGTATCCCCCCCCCGTACACGGATCAAGCGCTGATGCTAGCTCAAGAGACGATGACGCGCACTGTCGCGATCCAAGGCAGCGAGACCAGTCGCCAGGTCGAAGCGATGGCTCAGCCATTTGCAGCTGTACAGCAGATGACGGCTGCCCAACTCGACCACGTGCAGCACCAGCAAGAGCAGCTGGCCGCAAAGACGTCGGAATATCTGCAGGCACAACACGACCGTCAGTCTGCACTGCTAGAGCAGCAACGGGAAATGAAAATACAGATGGATGAGCACCGGCAATACCTGGAGGAGCAGTATCGACTGCTAAAGGCTGCTGAAGAGGCCGTGGGGCTGCAGGGTGAGCGGCTTAATAGCCTCGCAGAGGCGGTGCAGTCGCACTTGCAAGCGCGATGGGGAGCTTTCGCTCAAGGTGCATCACCACCGAGCGACCAACGAGCTCCGGAGCCACCCACCGTCACCGTGGCGGCAGGGAAAAACTTGCCTGTCCCGCCTATTTATCGAGGCAGCTCAAAAAGGAGAAGCGTGACTTCATGGACAGCTACGCTATTTACTCACGACGTCTTAGGCCATTAAATCAAGGTGCTCAAGCAAAGCATTTTGTCATGCCGGGAAGCTCATGCCTTGAACAGGGCATGATGGAGAGGATCTGCGGCTTTGAGCTGTTTAAAGACGAGAAGGACGTGACTGAAGCGGAATGGAGGGATTATTTTCTGTCGGCACGCCTACCAGACAACACCGCGTACGAGACACTGGATAAGGAGGTGGAGATGCTCTGTATGAGCTTGGAATTACAAGATGCGGAGTCTCGACTCTCTCGCCTCATGGTCGACTTCTACGAGATAGTCGACAGGTTGAACATGGAGGATGTGGTGCAAGTGGAAACCAAGAAAGCGATTGGATACTTGGTGGGGGCCTTGGGTCCACCAGCATTCAGAGCTATTGTGAAGGACCAATTGGGGCGTCAAACACACAAGCAGACTCAGGAAAATATACAAGTTTTCGTGAAGTGGGTCCGCAGTGAACTGGAGGGTTTTATGCGCTTTGAAGCCCACATCTTGCCACCGGCGCAAGCCAATACTAGCACTAAGGCTGAGTTGCATCCAGGATCTGGAAGCAGCTCAAAGAAAACTCAAGGAGGACGTGGTACTGGTAACAAAACTTCGCCATGCAGGGGACAACGGTCCGATAAACCTGCAGGAGATGGCATGCCAACGGCAGATGGCATGACTGAAGCAAGTCAGACACCGCTCAAAAACGTTTAAGTCGGACAAAAAGTGTTTTAAGTGTGAAGATCAGATGCACGGTGCTTTCCAGTGCCCAAACATCGCTAGCCCTATTGAAGCAAAGGCGTTGTACGAGAAAAGCACAGGCTAAATAGTGTTGAAGCCTGTGTTGGCGGCAGCACCAATAATAAGTTTGGCCAGGCCACGTTCACCAGCGATCCCGTGTGTTGTGATGGATGCAGTAGACACAGCGGCTGAAGTGTCTGTGGTAACGACGAAGCTCCTGAAGCTGTTGTCCAGAAATGGAAAGTGGCTGGCTCTTCAAGATTTACCGGAAAGTACCGCGGTGACTGGTAGATTTGCCCCCGGTACCAGTGGTACCGGGGGCAAATTAGTGGCTGTGAAGAGTAAAGTCAAGATTCATTTAAAGTCTTCGACACCAGGTGGCCCGCTCGTGTTGCATAACGTGGTTTGTTGGGTCACGGAGCAGCGGCTACCACCCGAAGTTGGTGACTTACTGCTGTCTCGATTGATTATGGAGCGGATCGGCTACAGCCCGGTTAAGCTACTTGCCGCTGCTCAACAAGCTCAGTCTGTCTGAGATATGGGTGATGTTGGAGAAGAAACTGCAAATTGTGGCGAGAGCGTACTGGCGTCCACTAGAGCTGTGGAAACGCCTGAACCGACAAAGGAAGAGACTGCTTTGAGCGATGACGAGGGCCAGGCCTGTTTTCCGGTATTTGATGATGATAAGGACGCTGAACGTCAGCGGATAAAGGAAATTATTTTAAGAAAGTGGTGGAAGTTCGTAGTTTGGGAGCGTCAGCCGAATTTGTCGAAGAACGTTTTAGGATACTGATGCAGTTTATTGACGTGTTCCGATTGGTGATCGGCCGTGATCCTCCTGTGAACATGCCGCCGATGGAGGTTACGTTGAAACCCGGTGTCACTCCTGTGCGGTGCCGTGCTCGTCGATACTCACAAACGCATCGTGAGTTCTTAACGGGGTACATCGACGCGCTCATCGCTGCAGGACTGTGCTCCCGAAATCCTCGGAGTAAGTGGTGCTCACCACCTCATGTAGTGAACAAACCTGAGGCTGGATCCCACCGAATGACAGTGGATGTTAGGGGACCCAATGGGTTTGTCGAGCAAATTGTCTGGCCGATGCCTGTTCTTGAAGTGATTTTTGATCGCTTACGTGGATCTTCACGTTTCTTTTCACTAGATTTCTTCAAAGGGTTTTGGCAATTTGCCATGGCTCCGTTGTCTCAGGGGATCTATTCGATTTTGATGAAGGAAGGAGTGATTACTCCGACTCGTGTTCTCATGGGGGGCACCAACAGCGTGGCATACGTGCAATCTACGGTACAGGATAAGTTCTCCGAGGTGTTCAACAATGGACTTCTGATATGGATTGATGACCTTCTGGGCTACAATGACACTGATGGGGGCCTGTTAGCCTTACTGAAGGAGGTGCTCACTATTTGTGTGGATAAAGGCCTAAAATTGAATCCCAAGAAGTGCTCCTTCTACTTGCGGGAAGCATTGTGAGGCGGTCGCATTGTGTTCGGTGACGGCGTGCGGCCCGATCCGGCTAGCGTGGAGGCGTTGACGAACCTTCAGCCGCCCACCACAGGCCAAGAGCTGCAACAGATCGTTTGTGCTCTGAACTGAAAGCAAACGTCACTCCCAGCATATGATAAAATGATTGACCTACGGCTAAAGTCTATGGAGAAAGTGTATGAAAAAGCAGGCGGTCGCAAGAAGACTCAGGTCCGAAAGGTGCTGTTGAGTGATGTTGGCTGAGGACCAGAACAAGAACACTGTTTACGTCGTTGCAAAGCAGCACTGCAACATGCGCTGCAGCTAGCGCACGCCGACCCAACAAAGAGACTATGTGTGTATACTGACGCCAGTGACGAGCGCCGGGGCGCTGCAATACCTTAAGTTTTGCAGGATCATGCCATGAGACTGCTAAGCAAGCAAGATCATCACCCATTGTTGATGCTCAGCGGGACTTCCAGTGGTTCGGTGAAGCGGTGGTCCATTGTGGAGAAAGAGGCCTATGCGATCATTGAAACGTGCCGGCGAGCAGACTATCTGCTGCATCGACCGGATGGTTTCTCCCTGTACACCGACCACCGCAACCTACGTTACATTTTCAATTCCCACAGTGTATCAAAGTCTGTGCCGCGATACACTGCAGATAAGTTGTACAGGTGGTCACTACTTCTCATGGTCTATAAGTACGAGATCTACGACATTCCAGAGGGTGATAACGTGTAGGCAAACCTGCTATCACGTTGGGAATCAGCGTACAAAACAGTGTGCGCAATTCGTCATATGGAGCTACCGCTTTCGCCACATCTTAATGAGTCGTTCCCGTGGCCTACGGTGGCCGACATCGTGGTGGATCAGGGCGCAGGGACGCCTCCCAGTAGTGCGGTCCAATCTACTGCTGATAGTTTGTGGAAGGACACAAAGAACAGAACTTGGATTCCGGACAAAGCAACAGAGCTGCAAGCTCGTGTTTGTGTGGTTGGTCATTTTGGTCATCGTGGAGTGGTAACGACGCTGGAAAAGATTGGTGCCGAGTTTGGGCATCAGCAAAGATGTTGAGCTCTTTGTTCAGCGATGTTTGCACTGCGCGAGCACACTCTGTGGACCACCACAGCCTAGGGTATAAGGCGAAGCAATGCACGCAGAGCACCCAAACGAGCTCATCCACTGGGACTATTTGTTCATGTGCGTCAGTGACTCTGTAGAGACCTACATCCCGGTTATTAAGGACGATGCGTCCAAGTACGTGTAGCTGCTACCGTGTGCAACAGCAGATGCAGACACTACATTTAACGGCTTGCTTGATTGGTTTGCTTCGTTCGGAGTGTGTCGCACCTGGGTCACCGACCAGGCACACACTTCAAGAACAAAACCATTGCGGCCTTGCAACACGCATTAGGTGCG